TAAGAGATAGATCTTTATCTCCCTAAACATAAAACAAGCTAAAAGTATGAAAAGCGACTAACACAACTCTAAAATATGATTGCATACGGCCTAGAGTTCCTAAAACATGTATTTATAGTCCTTAAGTCATTTCTGTACATCACTTAGGGTTTCTCTGAAGAAAGAAATCGAATGAGCTTGAAAATGGGCTTCTTGGGTGATAACACCTGATTTTGACCCATTTCACCATTGATTTCAAATGCTTTTTAAAAGGATTTAATCAGTTTTAGGAACTGTTATTACAATTTCTATGTATTTGTAGTTTCAAGGCTCTTTTCAGGAAACTTAGGGAAAATGATGGCAGAATGGAAGAAATCTACTTTTTCAGCTTAGAGTCAGACCGTCACAATTTCAGCCTCAAATGAAGACTTTCTCACCGTCTGATCCAGCTCAAATTTGGAGAAAATCAAGAGGAGACAAATAGCTTTCAATAGCACTTTACATCACAAAGATCCAATGGTGCAATCAAAATATACAAATATACATGGAGAACAAGTTGACCCTGTTTACCGGTCCCGGAAGACTCTCACCCCCGGCAAAACCATGTTTTACCTGTCCTGGAAGACTCTCACCCACGATGGACCTAAGGACGAGCCACAAGGCCCAACATCAAAGCCCACTTCGCCATTCCTCTTCATAGAAGCCCTAAAAGAGACCTGTAAGACCTTAGGACCTATAAATACATTGTTTAGCAGCCTGAAACGGGTGTGTGCTCCTGTAATGAGATTTTGATCCACAAAACTTTGTTTTTCTAGGGTTAGGTGATGGAGATCGGGATTCTTTCCCAGATCCATTGTTCTTTCTCCTTTCTATTCTACTAACTTTTGTGTTTCATTCTTTTGCATTCTTCTATGTTTTTAATCATTCCTTGCATCATGTAGATTTGTTCCAGAGAGTCAAGTTGTTTTAAGAGTCATCGATGAGCATATATATCGATTAGGATTTCTAAGTTTTTAGACCATATTCTGGATCTCATCTCTTCTAAGTTGTTCATATTGCATGAGAGTATATTCATGACCTATTCTCTGAGCCTAGGATCGATCAGAGGCACGAGAGTGTTGTATCAGATCATCCATACCTAGCTTCAGAAGAACATAGTCGCTATAGGAGTCGATAGCTACCTATAGAGAAGATGTGAGCAGACAAATTCAATGTCTAATGCATGATCTTATTGCTGCCATGAGAGCGAGAGTTAATTGTCAGATCTAAGTGATTAGTTGATTAAGATGGCGAGAGTTGGTTAATCATACATATGTATATTCTAGTTCCATGGAGATCCCAGAAACAGATGAAGATAAATCGCCCGGAAGCTAATTCGAAATGCCACCATACATCGATTAGAGTAAACCGGAGAAGTCTAAATCGCCACCTATGAGTTTTTAGATCTATAGTTTGAGTCGATATGCTTGAGATATTCTTTTAATAATTCATCCTGCATTGCATTTTATTTCCTCTAAATATTAGATTAGGTTTAATTTAGGATTCATAACCAGAAACCCCAAACCTTTATTGGTTTATGACTTTGCTTACTTCCCAGTTTGTTGTTTCTTGCAGATTAGACATCCTCCTTGTGGATCGACACCCTAAGTTCTACAAATGTACATCTGTGCACTTTCAGATTTTAGGTTTTATAAATTTAAAACTTTCTTAATGGACCAATAGGCTTGTATGAAAAACAACCCTAGGCCTGTAGTGATAGCAGGTTTTTTTAGCCCACTAAGGTCAATTAACCTCTTGTGTTGTAGCACTTGAGGGTTAATCCAAATGGAGAGATTCTAGACACCAAAACTATGATGATCAATTCTTAATCCAAGTCTAATATGCAGATGAGTTGGTAACCAAGATTATCTAAAAGCATATAATAAAACAAGCAAGAACAAACAGGCAGTAATTAAGAACTAAACAAGTAAGACAACAAAGCAAGGACTCAAATTCAAATAAAGATAAAGCTAAACCTCTAGATGTGATCATTGATCAGGGTGCTTTCAATGCTTAATTCATGATGCTGAGCAAATAATGCAATACTTGTTACTCTTTAGTCTAGGCTTCTTAATCAGATTAATCCACTCTCATGACAGAAATCCCTTTGAAAATCACTTAACCAAGTCCAACAACCATCAGAGATAACCAAGCAATCAACAAGCATAATGTTCCAAGCCTAATAAGTGACCAAATAATCTCTAGCAAAGAAAGACTGAATCTTATACAGAAAGATATAGCAAGCAATCACATGATCTCAAAACCAATTAACTTAGAACTCTAAACTAGATTAATCCTCTCATGAGGGCATTAACCTCTACACTAATCCATTTTCAAACCAAATTCTCATTTGTGAAATATGAATCGATGAACATTAAGAAACATTTCTAATATGTCATTTATGCATTTAACAAACATCATCATGGCATTAATGCATAAATCCTTAGTTAGCTTTCATTCAGGAATTTCATTGATCTGCTCAAAGTTTAATCCCTAGAGCTACTCTGCAAGAGCACAGATGTGCAGTTGTAGTATGTAGGGGTCAAACTACAGAGACGAGAAATTTGCACAATAAACTAAATATGCTTGATTTAGGCTAAGTCAAAACAGTAAAATTGAAAGCAGCAATGAAAATCAAACGTTTGTAAAATCAAATGGAAAAGGATTAGGCTTAGGGTGTTTCTCAGGAAATCAGAGAATGCAGATAAATTAACTAGTCAGGATTCAGGTTAAGCACGGTTCTTGAACTCAAATCATGAAATTATAATTAACCAACTTTCATTGCGAGAATTATCTAAGTCTAAATCCTAGAATCCAAATTTCTTTGCAAATCCTAAAGATATAAACTAGCCTTAAGTGCAGGTTTGATATGTTCACAAAGTATCTAAACCAAATTTCTTTGCGGATAGCTACTTTGATCACCCTACGTTATTTCCAGTTATTCAATTACTTTTTCGTGTCAATCAATTAACCTAAGATCTAAGTTCTAGGTGGCCAGTCCAGAATTAGCTTTAAGAACAACCTATGGTGAAGAACTAATCAGATTATGAATCCTAACTAATCAATTAATTTAACATTCAATGAAATCCTTTATGAGAACCCTAAACCTAACAAGCTAACTACTAAGACTGAATACTGAAGCAACAGACATGAATGAATAGTTTGCAAATAAGAAATCACTGAATAAATAACAGGGGTTTGAAATCTTCTTTCAAAACAAACAGAATTCAGACTTGTCTCCCCAAAAGCTCTCAAAAATAAAGATGACAAAAGTTTTCTCTCTGAAAGTCTAAAAAGTAAAAGGTATTGATGAAGGAGGCAGAAAACCCTTCTTAAATCTAAAAACACGTTTTGGGCTTTTTTGTAAATATTGAAGACTTCGGGGCTTCACAGATTCTTCAGAAATTGGATAAAATCACTTTTTTCCTTTTGTGGTCTTTCGGTGTTGAGCGACACACTCATGCACAGCTGAAATCATCCTTCACGAAAATCGATCCATTTAGCTCCAAAATGCTCCAAAATCTCCAATTAAGCTCCAAACGTACCTAGGACCTGTAAAGACTCGAAAAGACTCGAAAAACACGAAAAATACTCTATCAATAAGACCTATATCATGGTCAAAAACCATAAAAACCATGATATATCAACTCCCCTAGACTTAGTATTTGCTTGCCCTCAAGCAAACAAAATACCAAACAAGAGAAAGAGGTTTGAAAAACACAGAGATTCAACTTTTCAATGGAACATCGCTTTGACCGATCACCTTGTAATTCATATACTGCTTCATCATTCCAAATCGAACCACCATGTACTTCTCCGCAGACATTCACAGCTTCCCAGATTAAGTGCAAAATTCCACAACATTATCCATAAACCCTCATCTCTTGGTCTCACTGATGATTCAGATGCCAAAAATCTTCTAGACTTTTTCCCGTACTATACTCAAACAAATCAGCCATATAATCCTTTGGTACTTTTCTCTCCCCAGACTTATTCTTTTTGCACACTCATCATCATTTTTTATAGCATATACACGATAAGGTTAAAGCTACGAGTACTGATGGTGTTTGCCATCAAATCCCCGATTTGTCCCCTTACCTTGTATCAAAGGTTTTCAGCGAATAATGGGGTCATAGGAAATTTTCCTACCCCTCGCTTCCTTCCTTTGTGTGATCATTCCTACTTAGAAGTGAAATAATGGGATCCTTGGAAATTTTCGTAACCCTTCACTCTTAAAAGAAAATCATCTCAATATTTTCGCCCTTTTCTTTCTTTTTTTTGTTTAGCTTGTCATAAGGGAGAGAAACACCAAAATTAGATTTCACACAGGCTTTCATTTGTCAAGTATGAACGAGGAATCAAGCTCTATAAACATCAGTCACATCAATGAGGTAAAAGAAAGAGTTCAGAAATTAGCTCAGGTTAGTGGACTTTGTTGGAAATATGGACGCCTCTAGTCAACTGGTCAGCCTTTGGATTTTTCATTAGTCGGATCTAGACTGAATCTGCAGAAATGGTCACTTAGATGAAAGGTCAGCACAACAAAAGAAAAGGATCATAATCTCCAACAAGTTTTGACTTAAAAACAATTTGACATAACTGACTCTTAAGAAAAAAAACAGAATGTCAGCGACTACCTCCCCCAGACTTAAACAACATTGTCCCCAATGTTATCAAATCCGAAATAGGTAAAAAAAAAATCAAAAGAAATGAAAAAAATGCAGTAAAAGCGGAGAAGTTACCTGGCTGCGACAGTGGTGTCGACCGACACCATTACTGGTGTCGCTCAACACTGACCATTTTTTTTTTAACTAGTGTCGAGCGACACCGCAATCAGTGTCGGTCAACACCAACCACTTCGTATCTGCTACACCTAAAACACAAAAACGAAAAGGAAGAAGACAACTTATGTACAGACTTACTAGTGGGTTGCCTCCCACCAAGCGCTTGTTTTAAGTCATTAGCTTGACTTGACGGATGGACTATGCATCTGGTGGATCAGATAGTGGCAACGAATGCCTCTGTGAAAGTCGTCTCATCCATGGTGGTGTGTAAGCGTTGTGCGCATGAGGTCGTCCAAAGAATGCAGGAATAGCACTAGGGTGAGATATGTGTTTGGACCACTTTAACCTATTCCCTGCAATATCATCAATCAAAAAACCGAGTGCTCTACGATAATCTCGTAGCTTGCATCGTTAGACAGAGTCTGCATCTTTCAAATCAGTTTTGATGATATCACAAGAATTAGGATTAGGCTCAAGAGGTGCGTACCTTTGCTTTGGTGGAGATGAATGGAGCATGATGTTTGAGCTTTCTGCTCAATAGCAGCTATTGGTTCTGTAGGCGTCTTAGTCAACTCAGGTTGATCTATCACCTTCTCAGCATCAAGCACCTTCTGATCTCCATCTATCACTTCCGGTATTGCACTGACTTGGAATGTTTGACCATCTATGGTTGGATCCTTCAGCTTCTCCATCTTGAAGTTCATGATTGTATCTCCCAGATGGAGATCAAGGTTACCATGCTTGACATCAATCACTGCTCCAGCTGTATCTAAAAACGATCTTCCCAGGATAAAAGGATCTTCGGGTTCCTCTCCATATTCCAGAACCACAAAATCTGTAGGAATTATGCAATCACCAACTTTAATCGGAACATCCTCGAAGACACCTTTTGGGATTCTTTTAGATCGATCTGCTAAGATCAAAGAGATCTTAGTTGGCTTGAAGTCAGTCATCCCAAAGCTAACAGCTACAGAGTATGGCATGAGATTGACACTCGAACCAAGATCACACAGCGATCTCTTGAACCTCTCTGAGAAGATAGAGCAGTCCAAAACAAAGCTTCCTGGGTCCAAGAGCTTCTCTAGAATCTTATTCTGAATCACAGCACTGACCTGTTCAGAAATCATCATCACTCCTTCCTCATGACTCAGATTATTAGTCACCATCCTCTTCACATAACGCTTAAGAACATGATTAATCTTCACAGCATCAACCAAAGGAATCTCAATCACAATCTTCTCCATCAAAGCCTTACATCTTGCATCGTCAAGCTCCTGCTTAGAGCTCTTATGACTCCTAGGGTAAGGAATCTTAGGTTTGTAAACCCTTTCCTCCACTGGCTTTGACTTCTTAGTGATATCTGCTTCAGTTGGCAGCTGGTGTCGATCGACACTAGTGGTGGTGTCCCTCAACACTGGCCCTGATTTTGGATCCTCAGTTTGGTGTCGCTCAACCCCCGTGGTGGTGTTGTCCCACACTGCTGGTTTCTTCTTTGTATCTTCGACTTGGTGTCGCGCGACACTAGTGATTGTGTCGCTCGACACCGGCTCTGCAGTTTTAAAATATTCTGCAGATTCCTCCAGTTCCACGATTTCATCCTCAGAAACACCCTTTTTTAAGCTCAGGAGTAAGTTTTTTACCACTTCTCAACGTGATGGCACTGCAGTAATGTCTTGGGTTGGTGTCAGTCTTCCCAGGAAGAAATCCCTCTTGCCTTTTTACAGCCTCAGCAGTTTGAGCAACTTGAATGTCCAGCTTCTTGACATGAATGTTCAGAGCTTCGAATTTTCCATTCAGATTCAGATACAGAGCATCAATCTTCCCATTGAAATCCACAGTAATCTTTTGCTGATCTTCCAGGATCTGTTCCAGCATAGATTCCATCTCATTATTTGGAGTTTGAGGAGGAGGAGAACCATAATTCCTTGAAAAACTGTTGTTGGAGTAGGATTTCTGGTACTGAGGTTTGGAGTTATAACCAGAAGAGTTATGATTACCTGTGAAGGTACTCCTCTGATTATTTCCATTGTAATTCATGTTCCCAGGCTGAGTACTAAATCTCTGGTCCTGAAATCCAGCACCATTGATGAAGTTAACATCCTCTTCCTCAGCTTCTTCATCAGGTTCGATTCTGACAGATTTCTTACCCACAAGAAGACTATGCACAGAGTCCAGCTTAGCCTTCACCTCAGTAATCTGCGATCCATCCATGTTCCCAGCCTGCTTCCTTCGCTGATAGTCTGCATTCTTGGTACTATTGCTAGATGCCAAGTTCTCAATAAGCACAAAAGCATCTTCAGGCTATCTAGTGTTGAAATTCCCATTGCTTGCAGCATCAAGAGCCATCTGATACCTCCAATCAAAACCTCTGAAGAAAATACCCAGCAGCTGAACATCACTGAAACCATGATGTGGACAATCTCTCTGATATGATTTGAATCTCACCCAAGCAGCCTTGAATGCTTCAGTTGGTCCTTGAGAAAACTTTGAGATTTTGAGTCTCAGTTCCTCAGACCTGGCATCATCATAGAAATTGTGCAGAAAGGCGTTTCTGGTCTCCTCACAAGTAGTTAGTGATCCTGGCTCCAACTGCTTCAGCCAGTTAGCTACTTCTCCAGCAAGAGAATAAGGAAACAGCTTGCAGAAAAGGTAATCATTGGACACTCCATTGTATTTGATGCTAGTGACCAAGTCCTCGAACCTCTCAATATGATCCATCGGGTGCTCATGAGAAAGATCATGAAAAGGATGCTGACCCACAAGAGTGTAATACACAGCCTTGAGCTCAAAGCCGTTCCTCTGAAACACAGGAGCGCGAATCGCAGACCAATTTGCATAGAATTGCTCAGGTCTGTTGTAGTCACCCAGCGTCCTGATGATGTTACCTTCTCCATCAAGTCGCTGGCCTCTCTCATTACACACATGACCATCTTGGTCTCTCCAGACTCCAGCATCATCACGGACCAATGCTAATGCGTTCTCCATCTCTGCTAGTTTCAGAGACAAACAGAAAGAGTAATGTAAGTAACAAAATAAAATTAAGAAAAACGACGGGTGTCGCGCGACACCACTAAGGGGTGTCACTCGACACTAAGAAAAACTTAGTCGAAACTCAAGAACTAAAGTTTAATGGCGAAAATCAAGTCCCCGGCAATGGCGCCAAAACTTGATCTGCTCAAAGTTTAATCCCTAGAGCTACTCTGCAAGAGCACATATGTGCAGTTGTAGTATGTAGGGGTCAAACTACAGAGACGAGAAATTTGCACAATAAACTAAATATGCTCGATTTACGCTAAGTCAAAACAGTAAAATTGAAAGCAGCAATGAAAATCAAACGTTTGTAAAATCAAATGGAAAAGGATTAGGCTTAGGGTGTTTCTCAGGAAATCAGAGAATGCAGATAAATTAACTAGTCAAGATTCAGGTTAAGCACGGTTCTTGAACTCAAATCATGAAATTATAATTAAACAACTTTCGTTGCGAGAATTATCTAAGTCTAAATCTTAGAATCCCAAATTTCTTTGCAAATCCTAAAGATATAAACTAGCCTTAAGTGCAGGTTTGACATGTTCACAAAGTATCTAAACCAAATTTTTTTGCGGATAGCCACTTTGCTCACCCTAGTTCTTTCCAGTTATTCAATTAAACTTTCATATCAATCAATTAACCTAAGATCTAAGTTCTACGTGGCCAGTGCAGAATTAGCTTTAAGAACAACCTATGATGAAGAACTAATCAGATTATGAACCCTAACTAATCAATTAACTTAACATTCAATGAAATCCTTTATGAGAACCCTAAACCTAACAAGCTAACTACTCAGACATGAATACTGAAGAACCAGACATGAATGAATAGTTTGCAAATAAGAAATCACTGAATAAATAACAGGGGTTCGAAATCTTCTCTCAAAACAAACAGAATTCAGACTTGTCTCCCCAAAAGCTCTCAAAGGTAAAGATGACAAAAGTTTTCTCTCTTAAAGTATAAAAAGTACAAGGTATCAATGAAGGAGGCAGAAAACCCTTCTTAAATCTAAAAACATGTTTTGGGCCTTTTTGTAAATATTAAAGACTTCAGGGCTTCACAGATTCTTCAGAAATTGGATAAAATCACATTTTTTCCTTTTGTGGTCTTTGGTGTCGAGCGACACACTCATGCACAGCTGAAATCATCCTTCACGAAAATCGATCCATTTAACTCCAAAATGCTCCAAAATCTCCAATTAAGCTCCAAACGTACCTAGGACCTGTAAAAACTCGAAAAACACTTAAAAGACTTTATAAATAAGACCTATATCATGGTCAAAAACCATAAAAACCTTGATATATCATTCATCAAACACTTTTGGTGCATGAAAAATCCAGATTCTAGACCAAGTGATGTGCAAGGATCTAGCATTAGGATCAGCTAACTAAGGAAAAGAGAAGAGAATCTAAGCCTAAACAATCATTAATCTACATCTAAGCACCCTAAATCTACACACCTAGATGCTAAAAGAAAGACTACTCACTAATCATACTTAACTCTCCTAAACCTTTGCAAGTAGAGTAGTTAAGCATGATTAGAGATTAAAAATGGAGATGGAAAGATAGAGGATGATCGATTTAAGCTTAAACACAAAGTACTCTCTTGACTCAAACCCAGAAACTGAAGATCTCTCTTACAAAGTTTAGGTCTTTCACAAAAGAGGCAAAGAAACAAAGAGAATAAAGCTTCACCTAATCATTAAAGTCTCAAAACTATTTATACTCAGGTTTTCTTAATGAGACAACCCTTAACAAGCAGGATATTGGCTCAAAAAGGCCTAAAAACTCGGACAGGATCAAGAACCTATCAACATGGCACAAGTCGATATTTTGGTCGATATGTTTCAAAGTGTTTCTTAACAAGAATATCGACCAAACACTTGGTCGATAGTTTGGTCGACATTATTTCGGCAATCCAGGTTCTAAGATGTCGACTATGCTTCACCTCGACATTTTGGTCGATAATATTTCGGCGATCTTGGTTGAGAATATCGACCAAACTGTCGGAGTACATTCTGGTCGATAGGAATGCAAGACGTCTGAACCAAAACCTTCATAACTCTCAGCTCAGTGGTCCGAACATCGTTATGTCAACTCCATGAGACAGATGGCTCCGTCAGCTACAACTTTGATGAAGGGTCCGAGTCCAGCAGACGTCGGCAAGGTCTCTATCTCACCGGTTCTTTGAGGCGCGTCGTTTTGGTCCTTTAGCGGCTGCGAAAGATGTGTTCCTCCTGATTGGCGTAACTTTCAGCTCCGACCTCCAAATTGAGTGATATCAAGCGTTCTAGAAACTAGACTCAACCCTCTTGAATCTTGAAGAAAACTACCTAAATGTATGCATGAGACTCAATATTTGGACCAAAAATGCAATCCTAAGTATGCAAATTATGAATATATCAACTCCCCCACACTAATCCTTTGCTTGTCCCCAAGCAAAAAGGATCAAATGAAAGAGAGAGGTTGAATGCATTGGGAGTTCAATTTCCTTTGAGAGAAGTGACCACTAAGAGAATTCAAGTTCACGCTCAATATGCAATGCAAGGCCATACTCAGATATAACAACACAACAAGAAATCTCCACAAGCTCTCCTATTCCTCAACTCTTTGACATTCATTAAGCTTGTATCAAGTGAATCAAATGATGCAATGTCTAAACAAGCTGATTTGGCTAGGGTGAGGTTATGAGACTAAAATGATCTCATCAATGCCTGAGTGGGTTCAATGCAGCAAGGAGATCTCTCTATGAGTGATCAAACTTTGGCAGAATGCTAAAGGTAAAAAGCAACCTATGCATACAAGGGCAAGGATTCCTCCCACCCCACACTCTACTCAAAGCTTTCTCACTTGCTTACTCTCTCAAGAACCTCACTTTTGTTCTCACTAGGGGATTTACTTTTCATTTTCCCACTCAAGTCTTGGAGTTTAAACTTTACACAGCTCTTTTTCACTTTCTTTTGTAACCTCTAGCCTCTTTTTTTCTTTCTTTTTAGAACATTTGAGCTCTTTGGCTTCTTTTCTTTTCCTTTCACTTAGAGGCTAGACTCTTTATTTCCAAAACACTAGAGCTCACTGTCTTTGACTCAAAACTCCAAGACTGATTTCCTTTCTTTTTCTATCCCCTAGTTTTCACCACTCTCCTTTTTCCACTCACCAACAAGTATTCCCCCACACTTAGCTCTTGCCAAATCTCTCAGCTCCTTGATGATGGAACTTAACACTCAATGAGACTTGCCCTTGTCGCCCTAAACCTAACACTTTCTGCTAAGTTTGGTCCAAGGTGGCCTCTCAATCACACACAAACAATTGGCTTGAAAGAAGGATGGGTTCAAGGTGAGGTAAAACTGATCCAAATGCGGATTCAGCTATTTGAGCTAAGGAAGAGGATGGTAAAAACAGGATTCTAGCTCAAATATGTATATTAGTATCCACAAGCTTATTCAAACAATGCACCAAATGATAGTTTCAAGTCAAGTTCAGAGTTTTCACTTATTAGAGTTGAGTTCAATTCAAACTTCCTTCTCAGATTCAGATCATTTCAAGCCTTGCAAGCACATAATTCATTTCATAAGCATATTTAATCCAAATTCTCAAAGTGATTTACTCTCAAGGAATAAAAAAACCTATCATTACTCCCATGCAGAATGCAGCCTATATGATGCAACTAGAATCAATCCTAAAAAATGTGAATGCAACTACATGAGCATTTTGTTTTTTTTGTTTTTGTGGAAACTTTTCAATTTTTTCAATTTTTCTGGTTTTTATATACACATACATGAATGCAAGATGAGACTCAAGAGTGAAAAATAAAATAAGATCAAAGCAAACATGATTAGTAGCACTTAACCCCTCCCCCACACTTAAATAACACAGTCCCCTGTGTTATAGAACCATAAGAAAGAGGATAAACAGAAAAAAGATGCAAAAATCAAAAGAAAGATGCAAAATGGTATGTACAAGGTTTGGAGTGATTCCTGTATAGATTAAGTGTTGGAGAGGGATGTGGGTGGGTGTCTGGTTTTTCTTGAACCATCCCATTGAGCATTGGAAACCAAGGAGCTGCTGCATTCATATCGACTTGCTTAATGTCGATATTCTGGTCGATATTCCTTCGGTGCTATGGGTTCAAATTATCGACCAGAATATCGAGCATTAGCACCTCGGTATCTCAAGAAATTCAGA